GTGGGGAGAACACGGTCACAGCTTTCCCAGACGAGTAAAGACAGTTTCACTCCCTCTCTTCACACCACCAGGTTTGTGCAACCATCCTGTTCCTACCAGTGCTCTGGTGTCTTTCTAACCTGGGACCCAAAGGTGCATGAGACAAGGTGCTGTGTGTGTTGGGAAGGCAAATACAAGGTTGTATTTGTGGAGGTTTTTTAGAGCGTAAGGGAAGGATGGCTTTTGCCTCGTGCTGGAAGGAAAGGAGCTGCCGTGCCCTTCTGCTGCTTCTGCTTGTTCCACTAACCCCCCTGGTACCCTCCCTCTTGGGCAAGGGAAGGACAGATTCCTCCTTCCCAGAAATTTTAGCATCTTCCTGACTCAGAATCTAACTTATTCCTTTGGGATTCCTGCAGTCTCTTGTGCCCCCGTGTGGCAAACTACCTCTGTTACAGAAAATGGTAAAAAGTAAACTCAAATTTCTGATTTTAACCTGAGATCTCGGTAGAAGGAGGTGTAAATGCAAGTGGCACATGGAAAAATCTGGGTATTTAATTTCTCAGCCAAGGTTAATTTAGTAAATGTGGGATGTGGATCCCTCATTCTCGGAACTCACGCTCAGCTCATGGCAAGACTGCAGCTGTCTGGGCAGGAGAGCTGCAGCAGGCTGCCGTGTGCCCTGGGGGCATTGCTGGTTCCCTGGTGGTGATGGTGTGGTTCCATGCCAAGCACTCCATGGGCACTTACTTCTCGCACTCCGTGTCGTGGCCCACAGTCACCTCGCAGCCCGGGAAGAGTTTGGCTGCCAGCACTGGAGAAATGCAGCACAGGCCAATGGGCTTTTTGGCGGCGTGGAATGCCTTCAGGACGTCCTCCACCTCTTTGGAGACGATGCAGTTCTTGCCTTGGGTGGCCCAAGTACTCAGGTTTTTCGCCACCCCAAAGCCACCTGAGAAAGGAGGAACAGATTAGACCAGAGGATCAGTACTCCGGGGCGGGATTTTTTCAGGTATTACTTAAAATGCTAAAACGGATTTGGTGGATGGCAGCATTTGTCCAGTGTTGATGAAAGAGTTAAAAACAAACAAGTGGAAGCTCTGGGAGCTGACTGCCAGGAGAGGAGACATCAAAGCACCTTTCTTGCTTCCGTACAGAACTGAAGCGGGGAGGTATCAGTGCTTTGCTGGGTACTGTGTCTCACCCATGAACTCTTTGCCGAATTATGGTGGAACATGCTGACAAGTTTTAATCCTTGCTCCAGGCGTAATCCATCCCCACTGAAATCACATGGTCATACTTTCACTGAGGATGAATTGCTGAACCAATCAAGCTTTCCGCTTGTGAGTCACCCCTCTCTGTCCCAGCCTCTTCTCCTCCATGTTGGTGAGGGAGGGGATAGTTTTACAACCAGTAAAAAAAAAGCTCAGGAGATGGTACAGAGGATAATTCAATTGGCAGTTATCTGCCCTCTCCTCTTGGGATAAGCTTCCACATGCCAGTGCCAGCACAGATGGAAGATGTCTGTCCTTCCAGTCGCTGCTTCCAGCCTGTCTTCTTCCCCAGTGGCTCTGCCCAGTTGCTCTCCAGCCCATGCCTCCCAATTCATTCAGGGCTTATGGCATATCTAAGCTGTTCCCAAGACTTTGGGTGTGCAGCCCCCGTGTGCCATCCTACCTGGTATGATGAGGGCATCCAGCCCCTGGACATCCAGCTTAGCGAGATCCTTGATGTTGCCCCTGGCTATTCTGGCACTTTCCACTAGCACGTTGCGCTTCTCCTCAGTTGGCTGTCCTTTCACATGGTCCACCACGTGCATCTGGTCAACATCAGGAGCATAAACCTCTGCCTGGGGAGGGAGGGAAAAGTTCTGTTATCCTTCAGGAGTGTGTCCCAAGATTGTTAAGGATCATGAGCAGTGAATGAAAATGCTTTGAGTTACTTTGTTAGGAAAGAACTTTGCTGGTGAGCGCAGTGACCTTCAGAGTCAGCTGTACCTGGTACTGGTGTTGGGAAGGTTGTTGTCGTAGGGAGGAGAAAGAAGGAAGGAAAGAAAGAAAGGTCTTTTGTAGCTTCTGCACAGGAATATTTCTCCTGACCTTAAAAGAATGAGGGTGCTGTTAGGTGAAAGCAAAGGAGCTAGCTACCCCACAGTGCTTGTTTTGGGGCCTGACGTGCTGGAGAGGGAGCAGTGACTCCTTTCCTTCCTAGGAAAGCAAAGTGTCCCAAGAGCCATCAGTAAAGCCATTTGTTAGAGGTTTCCATCCGTATCCCAATCAATCACCTTCACCGGGGCAGCCCTGAAATGGTCAGGCAGTGGGACTAGATGATCATTGTAGGTCCCTTCCAACTGAAATATTCTTCTATTCTATTCTATTCTATTCTATTCTATTCTATTCTATTCTATTCTATTCTATTCTATTCTATTCTATTCTATTCCACTCCACTCCACTCCACTCCACTCCACTCCATTCTTTCTTTCCTCAGGCAAGCATGACCAAAAAATAAGAGGAGGGAGTTGACATAACACCTGGGTTTCGTCCACGAGAGGTCCCTGCCGACCCAGGGATGAGTGCGGGATGTGCTCCGAGCCTGCCGCTTCGGGGTACGGCAGGAGGGAAGCGACTGCAACAGCTCCGGGAGAGAGGAGGAGACAAGGTTTGGACAAGCCTTGGCTCTCAGCCAAACGGAGAACCCACACTCCGACGGCTCTGGGATGGGGTGGGCTGGCTCTGCAGCACATCTACCCCACCGCTGTGTATTTGATAGAGCAATTCCGATTCCCGGGAGGATTCCAGTGGGTGGCTCAGAGCTGAGGGTGTTGTCGCACAGGGCTTCTCTCCCTCCCGTTCCAGCCTCGCAGAGCGGCTCTCGGGACTGACAGTATTTTAAAGCAGCTGCTTGGGGGGCGCCTCTTTTACCCCGTCCAAGTTCAGCTTACGAGAACTTGCCTGTTTCCCGTTCTAATCTTCGGGGTTCTGGAAAGATGGATTTCTAACAGCCACAACCAAGAGTAGTCTTTCAGTCAGAAACAGCAAAGCAGGAAGGAGGAATTGCAAGCCAAAAACACGAGACCGCCTTTAGGAAGGTTTGTTTGAGAGTTTGGATACACTCGACACGGAGCGCCGAGCCAGCCCTCGGTACAGCAAAGCTGGGAGAGCGGAGCAGGGATCGGGGAATTCTCTGCCTGGGAGAGGGGTGCCGGGA